GAGGATTCTTTATTATTATTATTATTATTATTATTATTATTATTATTATTATTATTATTATTATTATTATTATTATTATTATTATTATTATTATTATTACAACATTACATTTCTGTCATTAGACTAGTTGTTTAGATCACATATGTATGGATTCATATCCTCAAATTTTTGTATCATGTATAAGCAAGCTATTACAATGTATGAAAAGTAATACATTAAGACTGCATTTCTAACACGGTGTTTTGTTGTTTATTCAACTTTTCCTAGCCTTATTGTCTTTTCTAGTGACTCTTGTCTTCTCATAATGTGACCAAAGTATGATAGCCTCAGTTTGGTAATTTTAGCTTCTAGGGACGGTTCAGGCTTGATTTGATCTAGAACCTGCTTATTTGTCTTTTGGGCGGTCCACAGGATCTGTAAAACTCTCATCCAGCACCATATTTCAAATTAAACAGCTTCCTTCCTGTCAGCTTTCTTCACAGTTCAACTTTCATACCCATGCACAGTAATGGGTATACTGAGTATGAATTATTTTGATCTTTTGTCACCAGAGACACTTCCTTACACTTAAGAAGAAGAAGAAGAAGAAGAAGAGATTGGATTTATACCCCGCGCTTAACTACCCAAGGGAGTCTCAGAGCGGCTGACAAACTCCTTTCCCTTCCACTCCCCACAACAGACATCCTGTGAGGTAGGTGGGGCTGAGAGAGCTCTTGACAGAAACTGCTCATTTTCAAGAACAGGTCTTATCAGAGCTACGGCTTGCAAGTGGAGGAGTGGGTAATCAAACACAGTTTTCCCAGATTAGAGTCCGCGCACTTAGAAGAAGAAGAGATTGGATTTCATACCCCGCGCTTAACTACCCAAGGGAGTCTCAGAGCGGCTGACAAACTCCTTTCCCTTCCCCTCCCCACAACAGACACCCCGTGAGGTAGGCGGGGCTGAGAGAGCTCAGACAGAAACCGCTGTTTTTCAAGGACAGCTCTTATCAGAACTACGGCTTGCCCAAGGTCATCCAGCCAGGTGCAAGTGGAGGAGTGGGGAATCAAACCCGGTTCTCCCAGATCTTAAGGGTCTTCTCTAGCTCCTTCATGGCTACCCTTCCCAGTCTCAATTTGCTTCTGATTTCTTGGTTGCAGTTTCTCTTTTCATTGATGATGGGGCCAAGGAAAAGAAAACGTTTAACAGTTTCAAATTCTTCACTGTCAGCCTTAAAGTTGTGTGATTCCTCAACAGTCATTACTTTTGTCTTCTTGATGTTCAGCTACACTCCTGCTTTGGCACTTGCTGCTTTAACTTTCATCAGCAGCTGTTTCAATTCTTCACTGTTTCTGCCACTAATGTGACGCCGTCTGCATATCTCAAACTGTTAATGATCCGTGCCTCAACTTTCGCTCCACCGTCATCTACATCTAATCCAGTTTTCTTTATGATACGTTTCGCATACCGATTGAAGAGACAGGGAGACAAATTGATAAAATTGATTAAAAAAAGCCAAGCCGTGGAGGATTCTTAACATTTCTTACACACACATAGAGCTGCCTTCTACTGAATCAGATCGCTGGTCCATCCAGGTCAGGATTGTCTACCCAGGCAGGCAGCGTGTCCCCAAAGTCTCAGGCAGAAGTCTTTCACATCACCGACAGCCCGGTCCTTTTAACTGGAGTTGCTGGGGATTGAACCTGGGACCTTCTGCATGCCAAGCAGAGACTCTTCCACCCTCTGAGCCACAGCGCCTCCCCCTGAGCTGCACCAATGGATAGGTCAAAGGCACAAGAGCCCCCCCCCCCAAAGTGTACTCTGAGCACCTTCCCTTCTATCACTATAAAGTACTGAGGCTGATGCGCTGAAGAGGGATTACAGCTCATACTTTACTTAGTTACATTAAGATCTTGAGATGCTTTAGCCGGCTCGCAGGCCGGCTTTTATTCCTGAGTCACACCACAAACACACACACACACACACACCCCTGTGATAGGATATTTACAGTGCACCCCTAGACCCATAGGTCCCTACTAGGATCCTAGCCTCCCGATAGGTGTGCGCTAGGATCCGTTCTGGCTATTGTCTTCGGCGACGAAGCTCGGGCCCCTTGCCTGACCGCATGTGCGGACTTCCCTGGGTACACAACAATCACTGAGGATGAAACCAGGCCTGAGAAGGAATAAGGCACCGCCAAACAACCTTGCAAAACAAAAAGTGGATGGTTTAAGACGTGGCTTGTTCTGAGCATACACAGAGTGCCGTTCCTTCAGCTCCATGCTGCGTAAAGCCAGACATCATGTTGTTGTGCTAGGCAGGCAGACCACCAATCCCATGTAGATATTCTCCACATTTGTAGATGAGCAAGATCCCCCTGCTCGGTTTCAGAGTTTCTTGATGCACTCTGTCTGAAATTCTGGTCCAAGTAGGAGAGTTCCAGCTAGAAGAATTTCATCTCTCTCTCTCTCTCTATCTCTCTCAATTAAAATTTTTAATAACAACATTTTCTGCTTACAACTAAACAGCGTACATACTTTGATTAAAAACATCAAAGGGGCTATCTTGATCAGAATGCACCTTTGATGGTGCCAAAATCCTTCAATTCTCACGCTCGCATGCACCCCTGCATGGGGGGGAGGGGGGGCAAAGCTGCAGAAGAGGAATCCGGGAGACATGCCATCTCATTAAGACTGCTGTATGGAAATGCATCACCCACATGCATGTGTTGACAGACCACACAGAGGGGAGGGGGGGAGATGTAAATGAGCAAAAGGAAGCAGAAATTGTGGCCAAGTGCATATGCGTGGTACAACATCTGGAAATTTAAAAGAAAACACGCGGTGGAGGATTCTGGGCCCATTGGGTCCGTTTTGGAAACAAGGCCAGATTTTACTTGATTCCCAAACAGAAATGACAATAACCTTGCAAGGTAGGCGAGGCAGAGAGACTGTGAGTGTCACCACTGAGCAGGGATCTGAACCCCCCCAAGGAATAGACAGCTTTCAAAGGGGATTAGATAGATTCATGGAGGACATGAATTCATGGAGGTTCCTCAGCCATGGCGACTGAGGGGAACCTCCATGTTCAGCAGCAGTCAACCTCTGAATCCCAGTGCCAGGAGGCAACATCAGGGGAAAGGCCTCGGCCTCTCTGCCCTGTTGTTGGCCCTCCAGAGGAACTGGTCGGCCACTGTGTGAGACAGGATGCTGGACTAGATGGACCCTCACTGGTCTGATCCAGCAGGGCTCTTCTTTCAATTCCCCACTGGACACAAAAACATCTAATTTAAAATACCAAAAGCTGGTCGGATTTCAAACAAAGCCGCCCTAAATAAAGATTCTTTTAATTGCTTAATGGTTTTAGCTGTTTTAAGAATTGATTGTTTTCCTTGGTTTTAATTGTTCATGCACTTTATTGTTAACTAACCTGAGTCCGTTTTGGGAAGGACAGGATGTAAATTTAACTAATAAAATAAAAAAAAAGATTGCCTCTGGAATGGTTTGTTGGAGGAATTAGTGCAGGAATTGCTTTGTAACATCTTTATAAAATCCAGCTCAACAAGAAAGGTGACACAGGCCACCTATCTGAACATGAATCTGTGTGTTCTCGTGTAGTTTTATAACTGCCGGGTAGCCCCGCCATGGTGTTTTCCCCTGACTCTGGAATGAGTAATGCTCTACAGCTGTTTCTCGCTTCTGCCTCTCTTATCTAGCCA